GCGATCATTCCAGTCTCATCAAACAACACTATATACACAAAACCATTAACACATTTTAAGCCAAGCAAAACAATAACTAATACTTTATAATCTCACGGAGATGTTATCATTTAAGGCTCAAACGGTCTCGTAATCATTTTAACGAAACTAACTTGAGTTTATGTTCCCAGAAACACTTATTATTGTTCGTTTTCTCGAAAATAGTACTGGAAATATGCTTAGGTATCGCAATTTGCCGATTCAAGGGGTCACGGAACTTGGCATATAAAGCTTAAGAAGCTTGAGCTTTCCATTTGCTATGGTAACGTACCCGTTATGTCCACCGTGTTGAAGCAATAAATGAAAATTTTGTGTTTAAACTAATCCTTCGAATAAAAGGTGCCAAATATCAGGAAACCGATTAGCATCCTTAATGTATTTCAACCAAATATTGTAAGACCAGTAAGACAGTTAAACAGTAAAACGTGACTGTTCATTTCCTAATCCTAGAGATATTTCTTAAATACACGTTTTCATAATTACGACTTGTTGCAAGGATGAAAACCTCTCTAGCCTAAATACAAATTAAGATATCTTTAAAATTGTAATTCGATGATAACCGCCCTCGTTTGTGGCATGAATGTCCCACTGCTCACAGTTTGAATGATGAACGAACTGAAAGCTGCCTCACGTACTGTGTCTGCCTCTTGAAAAATGTCGCTAACATTGTTCCGAGTTTTGGCATCATTGCGATCCGTCCCGCTCTTCTTAGTCATTGAACATACTTGTGCATCGTTAAAAAAAAAATTTACACTTGAGCGCCTTTGTATCTTCGCGAATCAATACTTTGTAGTTAATTCCACTCTCAATATAAATAAGTCAGCACGGCGCAAAAAGGCAAGGTAAGATGACGTAACTTTCCCAGACGTCATCGCACATTCGCAATGGTAAATTTTTTTTCAGTTAAAAAGAAAACTGTTCTAACGTACAGTCGAGAGCACCCCCAGATCACAGTTTACCTTATATACTTACTCTCAATGTCTTAGCAGTGTGTAGCCGCATTTACCACCACTAACCTTTAAGCACCATATAGGATTCTTTAGAAATCCAAATAATACAGTCCTGATGTACAAAGAGCACCAATTGAGGACTAATATAAAATTCAACTGTATTTATGATCAAACTCACCGACCCACAATCCTTTTTGGGCTAATTGCACAAAGTAATTATTGTCGCGGTGACCTGTCAGAGACCGCACACTTAGAAGAAGTATAAGAGCATTTTTTGAATAAATAAATGAGCATTGTCAGGGTACTAAGTTTTTTCGAAATGGTGGCATCTAATGTTCAATTTTCGGCAGATTTGAAAAAGGTTGTCGATAGATTATGTTACTATTCATGATTTTAAATCTCAAACCGTGGCCAGAGGTAAATTTTCATTAGACTCCCCCCCCCCCCCCTTCCAAAAGGGATGGAGATAGGTCATGGTTTCTGAATAAAATTTCTTTTTCAATGTGGCGGGATAGAGATCCGTGCATGCGCAACTGTGTGATCAACGGGGTCTGAGGCAGAGAGTATCTGTGAACTGTACATGCAAGCATAGTTCAGTTCAATTCAAACCAACCACTTGCAAACTGGTACCCTTAAAATTGATTTTAACTGAAGTTCGCAACTCCAATAAACTCTTTGCCAATGTGCAAAAGAAAGATTTTGACAGTACTTCGCCTATTCTCTGAGACGCCAAAACAGTCCAAACTATACAGTTATATTTTGAGCTACGTCTTGTTTATGACTACCCCACTCAAATTAAATGCAAGGCATTGAGCAAACCGCCTCCCGGTTAGCTCAATGGATAGAGCGCTGGACTGTTGTGCGGGAGGTCGAGGGTTCGAGCCCCGGCCGGACCAACACTCAAGGTCTTAAAATAACTGAGAAGAATATGCTTCCTTTCTGTAACATCAAGAAATGGTTAGATATTCTAGTCTTCTCGGATAGGGACGAATAAATGGAGGTCCCGTCTCCTGCAGGGTTAGGGGTAGGAGACGTAAATTTCGCACGCACGAGTATACTGTGTGATGGATGTCCTCCCCTGGGCTGGGATGGGTGGGTGCTTACAGGGCCGTTCTGAAAACCACTTCTGTGAGATCGCACCCTGTCTAAAGATTATTATCTATCTATCTATCTATCTAAGGCAGAGAAAGTAACTTTGTGGCGCCAGTTACAAAAAGTACCCACTCTGACAGCGATAATCCTAGTCTTATCAAATAAAACGGAACACTTGAGTGTAACGAAACATTTAATGCCAACTGATTACCTTTACATAATCGTTTACACATTACATTACAGTACCTGGGGTAGCTCAAAACGGTTTCGGTATTTTTTTTATACTAATTTTTTGATCGATCAATACTGTGACCATTCTTCTTTTATTCCCGTGAAAATAAAGCTCATTTTTTGCGAATGTTTCATCCTGGCTCTAAAGCTGTAAAATATATTTCAAGAGCCTCGGGAGACGATGAATCTTGACACCATGACTGCATGTCACCAAACTTTAACAGTAGAAATCTCAGGCACATTACGCAAAAATCAAGGTTGTGATGTTGCATGCGCAAGGGATAAGAATCCACTGCTGTTTTGGAATGATCAGGTTTTAAAACAACAACAGAAGTATTAAGTTTGTATTGAATCGTCAAATTATAAGCACGAAAAAAATATCAAACTTTTTTGAGCCTTACTTTTAGAGTCACCTATGACTAATATAAAAATTAATGACTATTTAATGATTAGACATCAAAAAATAATTGAATAACTCGCGCTATTTGGCATGGCTGCCAAACTACCCTAATAGATGATAACGTAAAGACTACTCCCTGAAGAAGTATACGGCAGTTAGACCAAACGTGTCGGAGAATAAAGTAGTTGTACAACTTCTGTTAGCAGAAGTGCTACTCGCCAGTTTAGTTTTAAAAAAATTAAAAATTACGATTTCTGGCATGGATACTTGAAAAAAGTGTGTGTTCACATTAGTGCCCGTCAAGAATCGTACTCGGTGACCGTGCTCGAGCACTAAGTGTGAACACAACCTAAGTCATGAGAACGACTATCAGGTTCTTCAACTTTTGCTACAGGTTAAATCCTACGACAAATTGAGGTTAGCTAGTTAAGAAATTATCACGAAACTATTTGAAAAAAATACTTAAAAATACTTGAAATGTGCTTGTTAGAGTGACACCACTAATCATAAACTGCGAGATATTTAAAGAGAAATTACAGTTATAAGTCACATAATGCCCACTGGTAAGGACCAAAATCCCTCTGACAGTATTGCATTGCTCATACGATGCAAAACAAATAATGATGATACAGTTCAACTATTTTTAACTGGATCTGAAAAAACCAAACTATGATATTTGTGAAAGCTAATAAATCAAAAGACTAACGCTCATTTGTTCAAGAAATTAATATGAAATCACTCTAACAAACATATCAAGCACAGCACGCAAAGGAATATATTTGCGCCATTTCGAATAAGGTAAGGGACCATAAACCATTTGAGAACGGTGGGAGTTGGTGGGAGTTGGTGGGAAACGAAAAGACACGGGAAAGAAAACGCTTCGAAAATGATAAAATAAAATAAACTTTCAAAACTGAAATGCTGCATCAAAAGAATGCAGCATTTCAACATCTTAACAATTTTTTCTTAATCCTTTAGCCTTGTATATATAATATCTTTTATTAAGCGAACATTATGGACAAAAGAATGCGTATATCTTGAAAATCATAAAGGGAGACTCCAAGCCCTTAAACATGGAAAAAAAAAACAAAGATGAAATAAAACAACCTCGTAAGAAGTGCAAATTCATCCACCAAAAATAAAATGGCCCTTACCTAAACGAAGCATAACACATTTCTGTAACTATTAACGTTTTAGTAATTATATCTACTTCCAAAACTGTGATTACTGTTAACCGAAAAACGAAGCATTTTGAACTGGACGCAAGGTCGTCCCATTCTTCGATTCTCTCTATCACTACTAGTGACCTTACTGCCAAAAAGAGTACTAAGGAACCAAATCTGTGGCAATGAACAAAAGAATCGCAAATTTAAGTACGGTAACCTTTACGTCTGTTCTTTGACTCAATCCAAGCTTTCTAGCTAGGTCTTAATACATCCTATCTGGCGGCTTAAACATTCGATTAGAATATTAAACGCACATTGACCTTTTTCTTACAACTAGTTCGTGTTATGCTGACAACAGTTCCAAGTTCCTTCACTAAGCCCGAGCGGATTTCAGTTTCTGTAGAACCGAGGCGACCGTGATCCCCCTTGGCTGAGAATGTTGATTGTTTCTTTCTCAAGGCAGTGTCACCAGAGATGAGATTACTAAGCCATTGTTATGGAGAAAGGTTACGATCTTCCGACAATAATAACGCTTCCCTATGACTAGATCATTCGAATCCGTCCCATTTAGAGCTACTGCTGGCCTTGGAAAGTGTTGTTCAAAGTAGCAACAGTAAAAGAAAATGGGAAAAGTATTACTTAGTGAAACTTAAAAATCTGGAGGTAAATAAAAGTCTGAAATACGAGCTAGAATATAGCTTGACCAGCTTAAATGAATTAGAAATAAAAAACTTTTTAAAATACTTTTTTATAGATATATGTTAAAAAGGCAAAGCAAACCGAAAGCACTGGCAAAATAATAGCTTGAAAACCTACAACATACTGAGTGGGCTATCACGTGGCTGTTTTTACATCAAAACAATGAGGTTATTTGCCAAGTGGCTTACAAAAGGTACCTCAACGAGGCGGCGTGGTTCCCCTCAAGGAGGCGGCGTGGCTGAGTGGTTAGGGTGCTGAACTTGTAATCCGGTGTCCCGGGTTCAAGTCCTCCACCCTACCACTCACTGGATTTGTTCTCGGTTGCCCCTAGTTCAACCCACCAATAACATAGCTCCATTTTCTGCTTTTAAAAGCACACACAACCCACAATTCCTCTATTCGCTCCGACGAAGGGCTAACGCTCGAAACGTCAGCTTTTGTAATCGTTACGGTGGCCAATTTACCACTTCAACTTTATTATTATTACCTAGCTTAGTTCTGCTTGAATAAAGCCGTGAGAACGAACGTTGCATATTCCCTGGATCGCATAATAGTCCAATACAGTTTAATTCCCAGCATTTTGTAGGGGTTGCCTTACATTCCGCTGGTACCCACAGATAATCCTGGGTGGAATGGTACTCTGAGAAAATTACCCTATAAAGTTCTACAAAATCATATCAAGGGCGTGACACAGTTTCACGTTTCCCTCATGAAAAGCGTGAGCACTTTAGCACAAATTCCTAAAAAAAAAAGAAAAAAAGAAAGAAAGAAAAAAAGCGCCTCAACTTTAGCTTTGTGTGATAAAGTACAAAATGTGGTTGAAGAGCTTTTTTTTGTCATTACATTCCACTGCAAACCAAAGGACTTTTTAACGTAATCGACCACTGCAAATTCTACACCACAAATTAGTAACACAAGAAAACGAAACTTTCAGTAATATCAAAATAACTTTCTCCATATAGCGAATGGGACAATCCTCCATAAATATGGAATAAATAATTTTTTACTCGCACTAGGCTGAAATGCAAGGTCAAATTAAATGCACATAACAGCTGATTTCAGCGCAGTGTGTGGAACCGATTTTGCCACTCCCATTGACTAACTTGAGTACATTACAGGTGGGGGCCATTTTCTAAGAACACGTACCATGGTTGAAAGGTGGAAAGTGAAGAAACCTTCTCGGTAGATAGACAAGAATAAATGCTATTTCGTAGTCCACGAGCAGTCCATTCTTTTCGGCAAAGTCCGTCGCGCGAGTTCCAGAAATCAGCGACAAAAAAATTCCAATTCACTCCCAGAGTTCTGCGAGGCGAGGCACAATCTTTCGGACTCCGCGACAGACTTCACCGAAAAGGAGGGACTGCTCGTAATCCAGCTATTTCGGGAGGCAAGCACATTAAATTTATCACTTGGTAAAAGCAATTCAATAGAAAGAACAAAGATTGCGCAGAACTAAATATATCGCGGGCTCCAAACACTGAACTGAAATCGACTGTGGAATCTATTACACAAGTCTGACACAAACTTATATGGGAATGGACAACGTAGACGGTGCTAAATATCGTCTTCGCTGGCTTACGCGGGAACCATACCACGGTCGACATGTCTGCTAAGTAACCCTAGATGATATCACTTCTTTCCATCTTTTGTTTTAATTTACGCCACTTAATTTACCGTATTCTTTTGCTATGGATTCAGCTCCGTCACAGTTGTCCACTTAGGTGTAAAGTCTAACGTCGACTGTACGGTGCGTGGAAGAACCCTAAGAAGTATTGTGATCTCACACACCAAGCCGATTAAAATAATCTGACACAAAAAAATGGATACTACTATACTACTAACTACACAATACATGACCAGGTGTCAGCATGTACCAATAACGCCTGAAAATGACACTAAAGGAACAAAAAATTTGAAAAGACCTTTTGAATGTGATAGTATCAAAAATAGTAATGTCAAGGTTAACTTGATCGACTGAAATAAACTTCATGAAGTTTTACTACCAATTAAGAAAAGTTGTTAGTTTGTAATAGACAATCGCTTCCAAGTTAGCGGTACCGAGAAAATAGCAGACTAGTTTTCCACCTTTGTTTCTTTCCCTAAGTTCCTTTAGCATCTCTTAGATTCAAATTATCAAATGAACATATTTTTCTACGTTTCACTTGCGGTTCTTATTCGACCTTTAATCAACCACAAACAAATGCACATTCTGGAACAATCTAACACATTAAAATAGGTAAAGAAAACAAGGTTAAACGACAAAATATCTACCTCACAAAAGTGATAACTGACAAATTGATGAAATAAACAACAACAACAAACAAAGAACAAATCCAAGATAATGAATAGTTTAACCAAACAAAAGTATTCTAAAGAACGGATAAACAAACATCAAAACGTTAGGAAGGAATGTGTAAGTTAGCTAAGCCAAAAAAAAAAAAAATTAAAAAAAGGGGGAATCTTGCTGCAAAAAGACAAACACATCATTCTCAAATAAAAAAAATATACGAACACACGCTGTTGACTGTTGACATGCGCAAACAAAATAATTTTCCTGTAATAAGGCACAAACAGCTCAAGAACAACAAACGCATAATTTTGGCAAACGAAGAAACCACGGGAAACTTCAAAATCATTAAAACTAATTGTACTGATGAAAAATAAAAAAAAAAAAAATAAAAAATCTGATCAAAATCATTAACACTTATTTTACCGATGTCACGTACACCATAAGTGAAAAAGAGTTCAAAATAAACTAAGAATGCAAGTCCAATTTAGACCAGATTAAAATCTGTCAAACACAGAATATCAAAAATTATGTACATGTACCGACGCTCATAGCAAACGGAGCAACGCTTTGTACTTCCACTCGCTAAACTGGTTTCGCCAATACTCTATTATGCATTTTGGACAAGGAATGAGGAGGTTTTTATCATCACTCAAGTCTCGGTCATTTTTAAATATGGTTTACCATTGTCTAAATTACATTGATATTTCAAAGTAAGTGTCACCTCCTACAATAAAGGCTGCTACGTTCTTGGTTCTTTTTTACTGATACTCTTGTATTTGTTAAATGCTACTCCAACCATCAAAGTGCCTTGAACAATAGTAATGTGTTCAAAATGCCAAAGATGCAACAATTGCACATGTTTCGTTCAAGACGGCAACTGTTCTGTTCAATTGCAGCAAAATGTTCGTTTGAACGAAAAAAATAGAAAAAAAGGGCCGATAGTGATAAAATATATACATGTAAAAATCAATTTCAGGTCTAGACAATGAAAAAAGGATGATCTACAGCATTTTTAACAAGTCTAAAGTTGAAAGAGCTACTCTAAGTCCATGAAAAGCTAGAAATGCACATCTATCTTGAATTAAAAAAAACCTAAAAAGCCTACAAAAGTTCATCAGAATTACCTTAACCTACCATTCAACCTATGTGCAAATTGACTCCATTAAGACTAAACTAAACCCCATAAAGATTAAAAAACACTATAAAGCCGACATTAAGTTCAACAAAATTACCTTAACCTTCTATGCAAACTGAATTATGTGCAAACCCGATAAAGACTGGATCACAGACTAACACCCAGATTAATTTCTATCAAACCATTTTCTATACAACGATGGTGAAAAACTACTCATTATAAAAATACGTACCAAATTAATCTCTATTTAGCTGCATGCATCACTATCAAAAGATCTTTTTTCCAAAGTCTGGTCCACAATTGAAATATTATCCTTCTTCTCACTTTGACTTTGTAACAGTAAAATTTCACATTGAATGCAAAATTTTACTGATACAGAATCAATAACTAGTGCATATGTCAATTCATGCAATATAGCTATGCGATTTTACTGAAAAAGAAAAGCAAAGAACCAATGAAACCATCACTGACCATCCTCCTTACGCCTGACACCTTTCAATTTCTCCACATCTTCTTTCAGGTTCAAAATCATCTGGTAATGACAGTCGAGTGCCCAGTCATGTTCAGCAATATGCACCTCATCTGCAGTGAGGCTTTCTCGCAAGGCACTTAACTCAGCCGCGGTGGCTTCCCCGCGATGGTCGCTAGCACCCCTCTGCTGTGGCAATAGGAGCAACGAGTGCGTTACTATAGAAGCACCCAAATGGGCCCTAAACTCTTCAGGATCCATCTTCACCTGGAAAAATTTTAGAAAAATAACAGATAGCGTTAATTTGTACAAATATATTTCAATCAAGTTGCAAATTAACTCGTTCGTCGAATACTCACAAGTCATGAGTATCATTGCCCAGTCCCCTTGTCCAAAAACGGACAAACCAGCTTTTGGCAATGAGACATGTCAGCAAATACCCTGGTCCCAGGAGTTCTCTTCTCTCCGCTCGCTGCTTTGCAGCTCGTTGGTCGGCGCTTCGCGCCGAATTCTCGTACTCCGGTAGAGAGAAGAGAACCTCTGGGACCAGGGTAGTCAGCAAAAGGCTTGTAACCAATTAGTTTGCAAGCGTCGATGACTTGGAAAAAACCCTCTTTTTAGCAGTGCCCAGTTTTGTCCTGAGATATACGCGTCAGCTGGCATTTTTTTCGAGTGATCACAGCTTCGCAGGGACGTGGATGACGTGGAGGCCGTCTTGATAGGAAAATTTTGAGTGGAAATCAGTTTCTTAGAGCAGTGTTCTCGGCTAAAGTAAAAGGTGGACGAATTTTCTGAAGCAGCACTGGATTTGCCGCAGGAATTCTTTGGGATGTTACAGAAGCACAAAGCATGAAAAAGCAAAAGCAGCTACGAATGGGACTTACTATTCCAGCACTTTTAGCAAGAGATTAAATGTACTCAAGATGATTTCACATTGTCCCCGCTATATTAACGGTTAGAATAACTTCTATTATCAATTAATCTCGAAATGCTTTAACCTCATTTGATTATTTTTTTAACTTGTAATCGGCTAACAAACTTACAGCATGCTCACATCCATACTTTCTGTATGGACATTCTTTTTGTGTACAATCACCGTCCTTTGCATCTTGATGCCTCTTCAACTATAATGAGCAGAGAGATATAATAATTAAAACCCTGGGTGACTATATATTCAGAAAGAGCTTGGCCCCTGCCCCTTTGCTTTCACCTAGAGAGTATTGAGCACTCCGGCTCACCAAAATTGGGCCTGATCTGCAGGCTATAGTTTTCATCCATGGTTTGTCACAAGTCTTGATACAACTGGGCATATTTTACAATACAAATAGATTTTAAAAAGTTTCATTCTCTCTATTCCCCTTGGTTGTTAATGCAAAATATTAAAAATACAGAAGTTTCTCTTATATGCTGATACCTCAAGTACATGCAAGTGTCAAATGTAGTAATATACTTCCTGTACATTAACAGTGCATTTTCATTTCAGTTTATACTGTCTAGAAATAAACAAATGTTGTTTCTTGAATGGAAAGATATCCCATTAGCTATTATGATAATCATAACCATTACAATTTCTCCAAATGTTGCTGGTGTATTATTACCTTCTTTAATTTTCAATTATTGTAATTAGACAGCATAATCAGATACCAATTAAAGCGGACAATCATACTAGGCCCTCTCAGCTAAATCTGCCGATCATCAGATTGATTACAAGAACCATACAAAAACTACCACTTGCCCTACAAAACAGGCGAATTTTTTAAACTTTAGACAATGTCTCTATCAGGGCCCTGTTGTTGAAAGGGCAGATAACACCATCCAATAGATAAATCGCAAGCCAGTGGATAAGTGTTAACAAAACAAGCTGAACTATCCATCAGATAGAGTTTTACCCGTTGGATAGCAATATCCACCCTTTGAACAAACAGGGCCAGAGAAAATCGGTCTCCTGTGATTTTGTAGTCACTGGTATGACTACTGACCAAATTGAACTCCTTAATGGTTCTAGCTATTACCATTTACGATTATTCATGGCAGGCAAAATGAACATTGTTGAATAAAACCAAAGACGAGGTCTTTGTCAAGTCAAGGGGAATTTTTCACAACATTCATTTAGAACCTGAGGCGAATAATCATTTTAGTATAATTGCTATCATGCTTTCAAATTCTGAGGTAAATTCATTTATTTTGTTGTTCAAACCATTCTGTTACAATTGTTTTAAGTACTAATGTATCAAGATAAGCCGCCTGAATCTCCACTAGAATTTGACACCCAGGTTTAGTTCATTCAATCAGCAAAAACGTGATATTAAGTACACCAAACTTTATCTTTTGTATAGTCTTCAGAACTGAATTTTCTTCTTCATCACTTCCTCTGTAACACTGAAAAAACACTGAGGAACCATTTTAAAATTTAGCTCCCTGCTCACCTCACACAAGGTGATCTTAGCAAAATATGACAATTTTTGACCAATCAGTGCACAAGCATCTCAGTCTATAATCACCAGAACAATTATACTAACCTTATATCAAAAAAATAATTGAATGGTGGGTGTTAACTGACGTACCTCACAAAGTTGAATGTTCTCCTTCCCACAGTTTCCACAAGTTATGTGTATGTTTTCACAGCTTTCATTCATATGTTTCTGTAATGTAGTGAACATATATACACAATAAACTTGATGACTGTACTCAATCCCAGTTGAATTGATTTTTCCAACTTTTTATTCTTCTTTTTTAGTTTGTTTTGATTAATTGTTCTGTTTTAAGGTAACTGCATCAAAAGAACAATTATGAACTATATATGTTATGAGTGCTAATCAATACAGTTACTAAATTGAGTTTCATACCAGATGTGCTATAAATTATATTTTTCTCTTTCTCTCAATTTACACCGGGAATAGATCTGCCACGCATTATGTAAAACGATGAAGACCCTTTTTCAGGATAAATATAATGTTTTTTCCATTGGGTATCCATCGTCGGGAGTTAAAGTTGTCAAGACAGTTGGCAACCCATAGAAATACATTAAACTCTGAATTTGCTTGATTCTAAACTAAACTCCAAGAATCTAAAGTTCTGACTTACTGCTTGATCAGCCCACTTTACTGCCATATTGCAGGAGTTGCAAACCACATCTCTAAATTGACATTCCTCCTCTTGGTGCTGAGCCAATTTTGAAAGCGGTACATTTTCATTGCAGCCAGCATTAGAGCATGTCACTGGCCTACAGGTACACTCTTTATTATGTTCCTACCAACAGATCAAATGGTGCAAACATTTAAATGTAATCTTAGTTGACAGGAATTTAATAACTTAACAGTAAATATCAGTAAGTAAAATTATTGTGTACTATATAATATTTATTCATTCTTTAAGAGAACAGTAGAAGATTTCTAGTATAAAAAAATTTGTTCAGGACCCAAGTGATTAATAAATTACACCTCCTAATTTTGCAGAGTAAAAGTGAGAACTAATAGAAAAGTAAAAACAAAGGGAACAATAATCAGGCAACTTTATAATTATCATAATTATGGCCACTGAGGTTCTCTTTCAGTATTAGCCTTACTTCTGCATTTCTGACTTCACCCCTCCATTCACAACCGGCATCTTTATTCAGGCATGGTGTAATTATTTGTAATATTTCTCTTCTCACATAAGCATCCTCAAAATACTATTCATAGAAAGAGAAAAAACTTGAATAAATAAAATGTAAATGTGGGTAAAGTTACTAAAACAAGGAATAGCCTGGAAAGAGCTGAAATGAACTGGAATGAACTGGAATGAACTGGAATGATCCAGAACGAGCTGGAATGACAAAGAATGACCAAGAATGACCCAAGAATGATCCATAAAAATGATTTTCAATTGAATTTGTCTCCATATACTTGATTTTAACTTGCTAAACAAACTCTTTACGTCCTTCTGCCATTTTCTCACTCAGTTGGAAAAGGCTGATCGGCTAGTAGCCACAGGAAGCCCGATACAATATTTCACAATGGCCGCGGAGTTGAATCCTAGTGGAAAATCCTGATGTCGAATGGGGTGAGTTTCCGTGGATTTTATTAAGAAATGAACTGGAATTTCCTAAGTTTTTGCTGAAGGGCGAGAGATCAAACTCTTCGGCCATGATGCTGGAGATTTGGCGGGAAATATCCTATCCCCTGATGCATTGTATTCTGCCCCATGAGATCATTTGCATTAGAAATATTTCATCCAGCTTCCTGTGGCTAATATCCCATCAGCCTTTTTGAAAATGGCTGATGAGAAAATGGCTGATTCTTGGTCATTCCAGCTCGTTCTGGATCATTCCAGCTCATTCCGGCTCATTCCAGCTCTTTCCAGGTAATTCCTTGTTTTAGTAACTATACCTGCAAATGTGAACTTTAAAATTAAGTTAGAAAATCAAAATGGGCTCCATTTTAAGTCCCACAATATTATACGCTACATAAACATCATTTCCCTTATAAATTACAAACAATTACCGCTTCATGTCCAATTACACTGCTGCAATTCTCATCTAAACATCTGACAGACCTAAAAAACCTACAGAGTAAATTAAAGTAAATTGATCAGAGGATGTAATCAACTAACAACTCACTAAATCATAGATGCAACTGCTGCTGGGTTTACAAAGGTTTCAATGGTTCAAGGGCTGATTGAAATGAGGAAAGTTTAACCTGCAAAGCAGTGGTTTGCCAGTGGAAGTTTCAATTTGTGGCCTCAAGGACACTCGTGTTAGCATTTGCAGGAGAGACCCCTAGCATATAACATTCTTCACTTAATGTCTACTTCATTGCTTTCATCCTTATTTTAAACAACCTACAGTACATATTAAAGACAGTTTTGAATATCATCAACAACAACAAAAATGATCATCATCATCCCTCACTAACATTGTTGCATTTTCTTAATATTACATAGACAATGTGTAATTCTGTGCTGATAAAAATTCTTGAAAGCAGTTTTGTCTACAATTTAATCATAGCCAAGTGACGTTTAACTAAACATGCATTCATTACTACATGACACTGTGCAATATGGCAATTTAAAGCATGAACATGACTGTCTCCACTATGATTCCTTACTTCCTAATTTCATTATGAGCAACAGACTGTCTTGAAGAAAAGAAAATCCACTGACAACTGAGATGCTTTTAAAATTTATTTAATTGTCATATTTTTGATCAATATAGATACTCACCCACAATGTTTTAACATCTCTAACAAACATTTTTTGCAGTAATGGTGACCACAATTAGTTTGCACAGCATCTCTTAATAGGAAACCACATGATTTGCAAATAAATTTAACATCAATCTGTACAGAAATAGGAATCTTGTATCCAGGCATCTTTATATATTAAATCAGTCTGTCTTAATTCACCTAAAATAAAAAAGGAATTGAGGGAATATGTTTACTAGAGGTTACTATAATTGCATTCATTCATGATAGCCATAGAACAACTTCCATGTCACTCCAAATTAATTGTGAAGCTTTTGTAGAAGTATTCTAATGTGCATGAAAGAGAAAGACCGGTAACTGAATTGATAGGCTATAGTACCCCAAGCATAAGGAAAATTTTTAGGACCTGCAACTGCGAAGGAAGACCTTCACTTCATATCTTAACATACACTACCAACATCCAGTATCATTACAGGAGGATGGTCTAAAGCACTTAAAAATATTAAACATTACAAAAAACATAATTATTTGCACCTAGCTATAGCTACAATTAACTTCTATTCTTTCTGACACATTAAGTCATTGACCTGAGTGAACAGATTCATTTTTGGGTACACTGTATTAAAAAATAATTCAACCTAGACGGAACAACTAGGTTAACAACCAGTTTGAGCTGATATAGTAAAAATCACAATGATCTGACTGGCTAAAGATAATTCAATGCTCAAAGCTAGGTTTGCAATGAAATAAACTAAAAGAAGATTCAGGCAGGATTGCTAAATTGCAAGTTATCCTCATGTTGTATGAACATATCACATCACTTCATTATTATAATTTCTTAACTAAACTTGATTTTTAATTGATTCTTGGTGCATGAAATTTCAATAAAGTACCTTGTATTACAAAGTGAAAACTAAAACTTACTAATTTACTAATACATACTTCCTAATTTATCTTGATCATATTGCAGTAATCATACTGAGGAACATTTTCACATCGAAGGATAAAACTTTTGAAAGTAATGTATCTAACCAAGAAGTGTAGTCCAAGTCATTTATACCATCATTTTCTGGGTCTTCCCCGGTCCATTTTGTTCTCATTGCAATGACAAGGAAGGCATGCCTTCCAATCCACAACCTAATTGTTGATGTGATAAACAAATGCGAAACACGGCTTGTCAAGTACAGAAATGAGTTCACATCAATATCAATTGCATATATGCATGGGTACACAAAATTCAAATTTGGTTACAAATGATCAAAGCATTGAACTGTTAAGAAAAAGGACACAACGCCACTTTGGATATCATATATGAAATATGCTTCGGTAAGCACTAGTTTGGCCTTCCCTGAAGCAACGATAGCATTTTCAAGTACCAACATTCCTGAAGCTATACGAACAAAAAAAAACTCCAAGAAACCTCTTGAAATATAAAACAGTTGAAATAATCAAGGACAGCTGCAATATCAAGTATACGATCGAGTTTAGATCCGAAAGCCAAAAGTACACTAAGTCAAAATGGCCGCCACGTCGCTTCTCACTCGGTCACGTCTCGCCACAAAGCCCAGCTTCCGTTTTTGTTTGGTTTGTGATTTACTTCCTTTTAGAAACTTAAAGTGGTGCTGGGATCTGCAAAGTTATTTCGAACGCTAAAATCAAAGCATTTCTCTGTCTCAATCAAAAACTTGTCACTGAAAAATGGCGGCGGTTCTGTATTTCTCGTCTCTGATATGCATGCGAACAAAATAAAAAAGAAATTGCATTAGATACAGTCTTGATTTCAATCGGGAATTGAGGGTACACACTTAATTCGCTTAGAAAACGGCTTCAAAAGGCTTCGTTGGGAAATGAAGCTGATGAAATTAATTACGTACCTTCTGTTCAAATGCGAAATAGTGCATCCACTGTAATTTTTTCACAAACCAGTTTCAGGAGAAAATCATTAAATATTAAATATGTGCTTCCCTACTTCCCAGTCCCTTGCAGTGAATAGATAATTAGGGGATTCCCCTACAAGACCTCAAAAAAAAAAAAAAAAAAAAAAAAACCCAATCAAGACAAAACAAAAAGAAGGGAAAAAAAGCAACTTTCCACGCTTTTACGAAAAAACTGGTACATACTCTGACAATTTCAAATACCATAACAATGATGAGGTACAAAGATCATGGGTTTGCTTTGATTTGAAATTCTAGAAACTCGATCTTCCGAACCCTTAGGTATGTCTTCGGAGGACGTGATCTTCCTTGCTTACTAAGAAAAACATCCATGCAACTTGCGAAGTGCGGCCCACAGAAAATCGAGTGAACATTTGTATTGTTGTATTTCAATTGAGAGGAAATATATCAGACCAGGATATTTACTAACCCTTTCTCATTGAAATAAATTTCGATAAATATTACGAAGTTGAGGAAAGTATCGCGAATTGTTAGCGGGAGGATCGAACAGATCACGTACTTGCCAAAGAAAAACAGGACTTGAGACATAACTCACCCGTAACGCTATTTTGGGATCACTGAATTCTATTACTGTTTCATCAGCCTATCACCACGCAAGTCTATGATAATTATTTCTGGGAATTTTTTCAGACAAAGTTTAGAAGCAATCTGGCGTTTTTGGAAGGACTGGTATGTATATGTTGTAGTTCAATTTTATCCTTGGTTCAAATTTTATTTTCCTTTGTTCCAAACTCATTATCATACATTAACATGACCGAGAAAAAAGGAAAATAAAATTTGAACCAAGGATAAAATTGAACTACAACATATACAACAACATATGGCCAGAATATTATTTGCAAAAATGCACAGTTGAAGGGTATTATACAAAAGTATACCGTTGTTCACTGTTGGATATTTGGAGGTAATGTAAAAGGCTCTCGACCGATGGGAAGAAAAGAAAAATTAATCGCATATTAGTAACGTTAAGCAGCACTGGAACTGTTTAGAGTAAAATGGAGAATGGCTTGCGCCTGTAGTATCATGTCAGACTCAGACCACTACGATTGATAATTTAAGTGACTGGTTACATCAGCTCATACATCAACTTACAGAGCAGCAGGTGTAATTCTTGAGGTTTCTCCTCCGAGCCAAGGCAAGCTTGCAGCAAGAATAGATAAAGGGTCATGCGCGAGACGAGCCCTTCCCCTAGCTTCAAGCGACTAAAAAGCGCGTATGAAATAGGAATGCTCTGCTAGCCTTTTGCAGCGTTCAGTTAGTAAAAAGGAGCACGAGAGTAGCGGCGTAGTGAAAAAGGGAGAGAGGTTTGCTTCGGGTCACGTAACCAGTGGCAGGTCGAGGGGAGGGGCACGCATAAACAAGCTACTGTTCAGCGCGTTGTCACTGTTCAACGAGGTCAAGTTTGGAGAACGATGATCGTCTAGAAAGTGGCCTTGATTGAAGCTTTTTTAACTCATCATGAATTTAATCGACTAATGGTATTGATTTCAGGTAGTTTTACAAAAAAAAAATAAGAATCTCTTATCTAACCCTATTATGAGAGGATTGCCATTAAACGGTGAGCACTGCGGTTGATCCAGTATGACATTTTCATGTTTTATTGGCAAGAAAATTTAAACAATGCATACAAGAAACACTGGAAAGTAACAATCATTCCTTTAATTGTGGAAGGAAAATCAAGCAACAGCGTTTAACCTACGAAAAATAATCCACTAAACTAGCTAGTTCGACTTGGTGTATTCATCCGTACAATTACTGACTTCGATTTAAACTCCTTTAAGTAGACAGGTGTATCACTTCGGGTAATTTCACGAAATTATTCTAGTCTATTTGCGTGCTCAGACAGTAAATACTCCCTTCGAGAAATCGAAAAAAAAAAAAAAACAGGCTCTGAGAGTAAGTGGCCCCATTCTGTTTTATGTTGTGGAATAGAGCATAACTTAGTCAACTTGGTGGAGACCCTCGACAACCCACGCATACACTGCTCACTGCTCCCGAGATATGCGCTGTTAGCCGCTTACTACCGGATGACCCCTTGCAGAAAAAAAAAAAACCCACCCGGTCCCTGGAGCTCGATTCACCCAAAACAAACTGAAAACAAACTTTTTCTATCTCAAATCCTTTGATCACCTAAGGAACACTATCTTCAAGTCGACCTCTAGTCGGAAAGACCTTCCCTGTTGCTAAAACTAATAATAATTTTCCAAAATACCTAAGGACGACTGAAGTTGGTAAATTACTGTCCACAGTTCATCCCTTAGTTTAACCACCTTAAGTCAGTGATCCAGCGGACGATTTATCACTGCCAATTGCTCCCAGTTCATTGAATGCTTTTGCTTTGAGCGAAAAAAGAACCCCCAAAGAAACCCCCACTTGACAAACAAAAAGCGTTCCCAGTGTCTACCGCGAGGAGGTCAGCGCAAAAGACACCAAAAAAAAAAACGATGAAGCAAAGTCGAGATTTTCTGATTGACCATCTCTACAAACCACTTTGGAAAAATTCTCAAAATTTCTCCTTGTGACTGAGATCCCATATTAGTCAGCTCTCATAGCGAGGCTGAAGTTTTAGTCTTAAAGGAAATTCGAATGCACTTCAATCGTTCACGGAGAAGCCTGCAGAAAGCGTGACTTTTCACTCCTTAGATGTTTCAAAACCGACTTCCTTCCTAAACTTTCTTTATAAAAATGTTGACGATATTCTCTCGATGGTGCCAGAGTCCAGGTAAAATCAAAAATCTCGACGCACCGAGGAAAGGCATTCCACAACATAAAAAGAAAAGAGAAGTTCGCCTACACTGTAAGCATGCGTTTCTTCGAAATTAAGATGTTTCTCAAAGCTAATTACTCGTTTCATTTTCGTGTATTCAATTATTTCACGCGTACACTTGGCAACTAATTAATTAGAGGGTATATGTTAGCTCATCGGGCCTGATTACTACGAGTTAAACAAAAAGTTGTTGCGGTTTTAATGAGTCAACCTAAAAACTGCACTTAAATCAACCAAACATAAGAAAAAGAGTTGGATCGTCAAATCCAGCTAATATACCCTGCATTACGTTTACTTCCCGGCATTATACGTCATTCGCTCAAGCAAATGGCTACCGTTTTAGAAAAACCATTGCACCTACGTTAATTGCATAGCAATATTAACATAAATGATCAATCCATATATAATTCTGTGACATGGCGAACATGGAACTTACACTGTATCGATCGCGGTCGCGTATTCTGTTGACGATTTGATGGAGAGCAAGCAGACAGATTCAACTGTCATAATAAAAATAAAAAGAATCTGACTTTTTCTCGCATCACTTTGAGATGCGAAAATCAAATCAAAATACAAACTGTCCTGTCAAACAAAGAAAATGACGTTCATTTCAGGTACGAAACAACGACAACACCTGCCATGTATCACCTACATGCAACATGTACACATCATGTCAGAACAATGGTAAGACTGTAAATTTAAAACAAGTAACAAACCATAACTCAAAGTTCCTCTTCACAGATCAGACGTATCCACAATTATTTTCAGGAACATGGCGTCGTCCCTGACATAAGCATGATTATTTAGCTCAGAAAGCGAACAGAACATCGGGCACCCACTGGCGATGTTTGTCTCTCTTCTTGGCCTCTGAAAGGATGAGCTGTTTGGGTCAGGTCTGAAGGCGTCAATCACGTGTTCTACGTTATCCTGATCCAGCAACATGAAGGTGACCTTCTGTCTGAATGGCCAGCGGAGCAGCGCGTCATACTGACCACGCATGACCACAAAGAAGATCGAGATGTGCGTTCCTCTTCCCATTCCATCCCCGTTCAGGTAAATGCGGGCGCACATTTTGTAGCCATAGCGACTGGTGTAGAAACAAGGGCTATAGAAAGAGACCTGCTGACCTGTCACTGCGTCATTTCGTTTGCGAGCATAATCAGAAATCTTCCACAAAAGCTGGCCATCGTAACTTGAGAACTCTTGCTGTCTTACGTATTCCTCCAAATCAGCCAGGGTTACATTTCTAAGTGCCAGCGTGTGCTCAATAGATTCAATCCTTCTGTCATGTCTCCTGGAGCTCTCTTGTGTGGTGTCAAGCTGCCTTTTCATATTACCCATGTCACGTCTAACTTCCTCCATTGCGCGATTGTTCTCTACCAGAAGAACTTCATGGTCAGCGGTTCGGTTTTCAATGTTGGTAACCCTTCGCGTGATTTCAGGGTGACGTGCACCATCATTGGACTCGCCAGGTATTTGGGTAGTAGTGGCAGCTCCCAACAGATTTCCTGAAGCCACTTTCCTCTCCAAGGCGGTAATTCTCTCGCTGTGTTCTTGGCATTTTTCGCGTAAATTCCTTGTTTCACCCGCCTGAGTTTGAACTTGAGCGAGAAGATCCGTAATCACACTGTCGTAATTTGAAACGAGGTGTGGATTTCTAGACACGATTCTGGGATCACGCACTAAAAGTGCCTCTATTTCTTTGCTCATTCGTATAGCAAAATGTAAAAGCAGAGTAGTGTGTAAGGTATTATGTTTCTCCAGGTGCTCTTTCCTCTGTTTTTGGGTGAGGGCCTGTGATAGAGAAGTGCACCATTAAGAAACATTTCAGTCTACTCTCAACAGGCAAAGACGATTTAAGGCATAGTACATGAACATGTACACCATCAGTAACATAATCAATCAAACCCACACAAAAGAACTGTCCGACAAACTTATCTAATTCCCTTTACTAACTAATTGACCCTCTAAGGATCAAACGAAAGCATAGAAGTACCTCGTTGGTTTATTTTAAGCTTTGAAAGTTTCCCAGGTTATCGGCGTCGCCCCATTTACAGGTTTCCTTAAATTCCCCGACAGTTCCCTTACGCTTGGGGGTAAGTTTCTAAAGAAACCGTGGTGCTGCTTCGGTGGGGGTAACAAGATAATTTGTTTTTATCAACCGAGTTGATACTGTAAATTGGCCACCGTAAAGGGTTTCAAAGCTGACGTTCGAGCGTTAGCTCCTCGCTAGAGCGAATGCCTTATTTGAATTTCCTAGACATGAAGTGTCTCGTAACGATTACACGTACACGGATTCTCCTTTTCATCGAGTTCTGAATGCATTGGTTTATTTAGGAGCTATACCTTATTAGCATGGTTTCAGAAAAGGCTGTTAACAAGTACCTCAGTTGCAGAGCAGCCAATCTGTGAATAAGGGCACGGTCCCTGTACACTATCACAATCTCCCATCATTGGATCTTGATGCTGTAACAGCTGCCGTACAAAACAAAAGGATCTAATGTTATTCTTTTAAGACAGGAAAAAACGAAAACAGCTTTACATGGAAAAAGCTGCGATATCTAAAGGATACACTGTTAAAATGAAGTTTCAGTGGGGCTTTAAATATAAAGGAAAAAAAACTGAATTTTACACAGAGAAACAAGACTACAAAGCGTTTTCTTCCCGTTGCAGGTGTTCCAATCTTATCGATACTAAACATACTTCTGTCTTGTTAACAGGGTCACAATATATCCATGTATTCTCTCGAGTGTGGGCTAACACTAAACTATTTTTTTTTTCTTTTTTTTTTTTGGGCGAACCTACCCAGACAGCTTTACCTGAAATTTAAATTCAAGAAGACTTCTTTTAACCCCAATTTCTTGCTATTGGATCCTGGCTTCAACAATTATAATTATCACCGAAACATTATTTAAATGGTGACATGTTTCTATGGCCCGGCCATACACACAACGGTACAGACTAATAACAATCCAAATTACACTATGAAAGGAAGTTAACCAACCTTCATTTTTTCAGAAGATATCAATACTGGCTATAAAAATTTATATGAAGTATTTCAATTTTATATCTTTGGTTATAAAATTTTCCAACTGGTTTTTTCTGTTACATGCAGCATTTTTCGTTTCAGGCTCACAACCACAAATATGACTATGTCTGATTAGAACATTTCAAAACAAAACAAACACTTGAATCAAAACATGCATTCAAGCTGAGTTTACCTTTGCTCTAAGAATTCCATCTTTGTTGCATTTTTTACAAATAACAGGATATGCTGGGCAATCTGTCTCATGATGATGCTGTAAAACCACATAATTTTAAAGGTGGAGTTAATATTGGCACATACAGTATTGTATGTGTCTCACAGTCGACTAGGCTTAAAATTTTTTAAGCCTCATGAAATACCCGGTTAAGTGTAAAGAACATCAGCAATAAATCATTCTCCTTCCAAATACAAATAAAAGTTGAAGCAAAAAAAAATGTACACAGTGTTCTTCAACTTGTTCTGAATATAAAGTCATAGACAAAAGTTGATCCAGTCAGTTTATTAGGTACAATAGATGCAATTACATAACAGAAAACAAACTTTGGGCAATTCTTATTTGAAAGTGACTGCTTGCAATCTAAAAGAGTCTGATTACATAAAAATTCACATCAGCTCAAGAATTCCAAAATAATTTGTTTTGTTAACAACATACCTTCATCTTATTAAGTTTGAATTGCTTCTTGCAGAACCCACAGGTTTCCAATCTGCACTCACATTCCTTTTCCAAGTGTTGGGTTAGATCTGATTTTTTCACTTGTGCGCCACACTCAGGATGTACACAGGGAATTTTAAGGAACTCACAATTATTCAAGTGGTCCTGTTTTGGAGGCAATATTTATCAGCTTAATAAGACAGTCTCCCCTCCTTCATGCAGAAAGCCTTCAAATTTGGGAGCATTGGCAAAAAACAAAACCAATTTATGCAGTTTTCCCTAAATGACCTATGCAACGAGAAAGGACCACCACTTTTTTACCTTGTTGTACCAGGTTTCCCTGTCTAAAAAACACTTCAACGTTCTTCAACAGCCAATTTGAGAGTAACAGAACAATATAACTGATCATATATTTGTCGAGTCATACTGCAAGCCCCACTCCCTGGATTCAAAAGGATCAAAATGACTGCCCAACGTAACCAACCCTCAATCAAAGGTTTCTAACATTCCGTACAGCCTTTTTCACATTCATTACCTACAAAAAAACTTAATACAACACTCCATTCAGGAATAATTCTTGGAACTCATACCAGACCTTGCTCTATTATGTAGCTCTACTTCTTGACTGATTGTTAGAAGACCACTAATAGTTGCTGATTGGTTCATATCAGTGTGATAATGGTTGCTGTGTATTTCCTGTTTTTTTGTGTTAAGGTTACTTCCCACCTTCGCATAGCACTCGCGTTACTTTATTTCACTCTGTCTAACATTGAGTAATGGGTAAAGTTGGCAAAGGAAAATCCCCTGGCAAAAAGGAAAGAGCTGGAAAAACTGCTGAAAAGCAAAACAGCGAATCGACAGACAGCTTAAGTAATACCCTTATCGCTGAATGAACTCCCACAGGTAGGTTTATTCATGATTTCATACGATTTGAGGCAACTGCCTATGTTTTTGTATCAAGGCAGGTACTTGCTTATTGAAAGGAAACTTTCTTTTTAACCTTATGTATGACACATGTAGATTTGATGGTGACTTCTTTGTTCACAATTTGTTTTCCAGCATGGAGAGCAATGCCAGGATTGTTTTTTTTCCTACAAAATAGTGCCATTTCTCTCTTCTTTGGGCCTGTTTTTTTCTTTTTCTTTGCTCAATGACTCCTCTCTAATTTTGATTTATGTTTTTTATCTATGTGAAGACTTTCCACTAGCAGAGAAATTCCACACGTGATTGTTATCAAGTGTGTGATTTAAACAAAATAAGCAAATAACTTGAAATTGCCGCGATATTCCCCCAAAGGGTTCGTTCATTTACGAGATTATGACACCTTCCTGATTTATTAACTTCATTTGAAAAAACGTTTTCCTAATTAAGTTGGACACTTTTTGAGATTTTTCAATCATTCTTTTTGTAATTGTTAGATAAAATGTCTAACTTCAACCTAGTCCAATAAAAGAAAAAAACGACTTTTTGGCCTCTGAAGGTCGGAAGTAACCTTAAGGTGATAGTGTTGTTTATTCCTCTAAATTCAAATGAGCTTTCTACTATGAATTTGATTACTGGAGCTACATTGCAGGGAAAACATGGTCTGCAAACTGAGTACAGGGCTCGACACTAACAGTAGCTACCTAGCCACAGACTAGTAGAAAATCAGTTTTGGCTGGTAAATAAACTGAAATTGTAGTAACATCTAAGATGTCACCAGCCACTTGGCTAGTAAGTTGAAAAAGTTAGTGTCTAGCCCTGGAATGAATTTCATGGCATAGTCTCATTATGAATAATGTCTACTGTGGTGTCTCAACTCTGGGTCTTGTCACTTGAACTGTGGTTGTTAGCCATAGTATTTTGATGACCAAATACTTTTCCCCATGACTTTTAGTTGAAAGTTTTAGCATGAAGGTTAGTGTATGAAAATCAATACAATTAATAATGATAATAGGACAGAGTGGAGTTCCAATTTGGTCTGTAATCATACAAGTGACTCCAAAATCGGACAACAGCGAGTATATTACAGACTTAATTGGATGGCACACAGTTATTTTACCAATCAATCATAACCATTACAATCTCCAAAAAAATAAATACATCTACTTGAGGAAATATCTCCAGTGAAGACCCAGTGTTGAGGAAAATTTCTCTATTTTGGAAATTTCCCAGTTTTCTGAGGTAAGTGGTTTCAGCTATGGTTATTGTAATCAGTTCTGCGAATAGTGGATTTTGCCAAGAGGATTTCATGATTGGCTGTTTTAACTGTCTGATTGCAAGTGTCAAATTAAACCCAACTGTCAGATTACATTGTCCAATTACAACTCTGCAGAATAATTACTGAAAAATAAAGTTGCTTGTGCACCAATTTCATTTCAGGAAATTGTAAAGGTAATGATAAACCATTTGCATGTACTGTACCTCTAAGTGTCTAACTTCTCCTCTCCAATTGCATCCTTCATCCTCAAAAGTACAGTTAACAACAAAGGCTTGCACTTCACGTCTCATGAAGTTATCAGGAAAGACCTTTACAGATATTGAGAGAGATGTTTTAGGACAAGTAGAAGTAAAATTTTAGGGGAAGTTGATTTAAACAAATTCAATCACATATCAAGCAATTTCTACTAAAGTTTCTTCAGTGAGGTGATCAAAAAATCCCCTCTACTTCATGTCAAGGAATTGTAGTGTATACACCTTTATCTGTTTAGTTTTTAAAGATGAGGAAGGGCTAAAGAAAGTTTGATTCTTTGCATAGCACAGATGTACAAGAATAAAGAAAGACATTTTCATTGGGTAACCAGCACTGGTAAAATTAAAGTATTCTGAATCCCTTTGATGAATCCTCCCTCAAGCCTTTTGAATCTGAGCTCTGGTGCTCTATCACAGAGCTTCATAGAATCTACAGTAAGCTACACCCTGACACCCTTATCAAAGATTCACTGTAGTGCAGAGGCAGTACATTGGAGCAATGCATCTGAAGGTCTCAGGTAACAAGCTCAGGTGAGACAAAAACCATCATTTCTAATTTCATAATCATTTCAAAATTCATCAGTTTTTTATTCAACATACAGGCTGGAGTAGTTATTGATGTCACTTTTTTTCTGCCAATAAGACATATTTGTATTTGAGACAAAAAATTCAGTGAATATTAGTAAACTCAAAACAAGAATAACAGCCATACTCATAGCCAAGAACAATTTCTGAACAGGAGCCCACAGGCAATGCAGAGAAAAAACATGTTTTGTCATGATATTAAGGTCTTACCTCATTCGGGAGAAACTCTTTCTGGTCCTGTAGACAGACCATTCTTGTAGATTCATTTCTAAATGGCATAAAATCGATACTTTAATCTATTTTATCAAATTGGTTATGGTTGAATCAGATAATAAGTGCTTGCAGCAATTGAATAGAACCAATTTATTTCTTGTCATATTCTTTCAAGCTTTGTTCATGAATTTTACTGCTCTAACAAAATTTATACAGTTATTGCACAGGGTTAAACAAAGTAAATAGGATGTGTCTATGGCTTGCAAACTTTTATTTACAGAGGCCTATGACAGAGGAAACAATTTCTGCTTAACTCCCAACAATCATCATTATGCGTACAGTCCTATGATAAAAGAAAACAAGCAAAGACAAAAGGTAACCTTTGGGACTAGGGCTTTCTTTGGAATAGATTGGGTTGAACAAAATTGTGTCCAAAAACCTTTTTCCTTTGAAAGAAACGGTATTAGGCATGGGTATCAGTGTGCCAATTTTAGTAGGCACTTTTTAAGGCCACGATGTCTGCTGTCTATCAATGGAAGGGAAAACGCCCAACGAATGATAATTTAAATGCATGACGGAATGAAGCTAGTATCAAACCAGGTTAGCAATGTGCACTGTTGTAAAAATAGAGCATCAAACCAGTGTGGTACCAAAGACTAAAACAAAAAAAAGTTCTAGGTAACGACGATGTTGATAGGTACAATTTTAAATGTAATTCCCACTAAGCAAATGTTCGAACTTACTGAAATAAGCTGGCCAAGCAGGAACTACAGTAGAAATGACCACAAGAAGTTTGCATAGCATCCCGTAAGAGCAAACCACATGAATTACAGGTATACTTTGACCCAAGCCTTTGTTTCTCGGAATCTGAAATCACGTAACCAGGCATCTTCTTGATAATCTTATATGTTCTTTACAGTTTCTGGACGCCGGATCTCCTTCAAAGAGAACAGAAAGGTTTTTCAATTATATGAATACCGTAAAAAGCACTTTTAAATTATCTACCTCCAAAAATGAAGTCTAAAACATGAAGAGAGTCCCACAAGACGAAATCAACGTCGAATCATGCAAACTCAGCTACTTTTAACTGGTTTCCAGCGTTCTCTCCTTCTCAGACGGTCCAGGTCGCTCGCAGCGAGAAACAGATTCCCCAAGGCTCCCTCACTTCTTCAGTGTTCCCCCCCCCCCCCACTCGCGTTTTTTCTTAAGTATTCACGAGCTTTCCCCAAATTCTCCTGTCTTCCCGTAAAAACCGCTTTTCTCGCGTTTTCTCCTGTTTTCCTCGTTAAACGTAATTGAACAAAACATTAATGTATCCACGTTCGATATTTTGTCCGTAAAAAAACTTCCTAGGACATTTTGAACCGGGAACTTTTCGAGTTTTTCCGACTTTTCGAGACTTAAAGCAATGGTAAAATTATATAGTAAAGGGAACGTAAAATACCGACTCGTAATTCGTACACGTGTAGTAATTTCTTGAGACCGGATGTCGATTTCCGAACTTTCGCGGTTTGTCTACGTAAAAAAATCACGTGACACCACATGAAATCTAACGCCAAAAAGGAGAATTAAATCAATATTAGCCAATGACCCTGAACTGTTCCCACGGCCTCTGTTTTACATCGTAAACAATCGATCGTAGTTAACGCATTTCAGAGAGAAATTGCCAATTCTTTCTCAAAATTTCACCTTCGAATAATCATGAATCATTCATTCTATAGTAAGCCTTACCACTATAAACTGGTGGAAAGACGCTACGAAGTAAAACTCGTAAACTTTCGTGTCCACTTGAGGCTCCCGCCCACTTCACGAAAAGTCTCTTACATACTAACGACGTGAGGACAATATGGTTACTGGCTAATCAGTAACCCTGAAAACCAAATATTTTCTACACTAGGTCATCGTCAATTGACGTAGTATCGAAAACGTTCGGTTTTTACCTTTTTAATGTAGTTTTTCTCTATGGATGGCTAAATTTAAGATATATATTGTTTTATCAATTCTATTGGTGAGGATGTGCGAAGGAGACGATGGAAACTTATCGGCCACATCATGAGGAAAGAACCAAATAATGACTGCAGAACTGCATTAACCTGGACCCCAGAAGGGCGGCGAAAACGGGTCAGATCAAAGACAACATGGAGGAAGACAGCAGAGAGAGAAAGGGAAAAAGCTGGATGGAAGAACTGTAGTGAGGTACAAATCGCAGCGGTTGACAGAGTTGGTTCACGGGATTGTGTTGAGGCCTTATGTGTCACATGGCAGGAAGAAGATAGGTGAAGGTGATTGGCGTATAGAAGTTAGATGTTTTATCACGAAAATAAAGTTTCCTTGATGAAAAAAATGATAACATATAGAAACAAAAATTGAAAAAGGTAGATGCCTTAATATTGTGCATACGTGCTGTTCTCATCTTATCTTATCTTATGTTTCGCAATCTCCGTCATACTCAACGGCGACAGTTGCTTTTCCACATTTACGAAGTCAAAACCTTATCTTAATTTTACATAAAAAATTAGATGTTCTTGTGGTCCAAAATTTCCATTTTCCCTACTATTGAATCTATTTTTTATACTTTTCGTTCTTTTTTAATTCTTTGACACCACGCGAGTGTAAAATGCTGACTAAGATATATTATAATTCATCCTAATATAAACTCAGCGGGAGACTGGATTATTTTTTGGAACCGATAAATTGCCATGACATATCTTTTACCTTGCTCGGAATTTTAACCAATCTATACAGGTGTGTAACTATGGGAAAAAAGCTCACCACTTGCCACAAATTTACTCTAGCACCCGCTTCGTCTCGTTTAATTATTTTTTAATGTACGTGAAGAAATGCAGAAGACGCACAATAGTTAAATATTCCTGTCAATGACGTTTCAATCTCTGGTACAAAAGGGGGCAACGTATCAAACCATCGGAGATTTCTTTAACCTTTATTGTACTTGATTAGAAGATTCTGAAGAGTGGATCTCTGTAGCTTGGAAGAACTAATACGATGAAGCCTAATTCAATGTTCGCAATACTGACGCTGATCGCAACCGAAATCAAAACCTAAAAAAATCTAGTCCTAACACGAACTATTCATGAACTGTCAAATGAAGGAAAACGAACTATTCATGAACTGTCAAATAACGGAAAACGAACTATTCATGAGCTGTCATATATAGGAAACCGCAATCGCTTAATTAACTATTTAAAACCACAGAGAAACATAGAAAGATAATCATGCATTATTCAAAGTCACGCAACGAAAGTAGAACTGTTCATAACCACTCCCTTGATCCTTAACTCCCATGAGTGACCAGGACAGAATTTCTCCTTACAACATCAATACGGTATCAACAAGACTAGTGTTGAGAATAAAGAAAACTATCGACAAGAGTATTTTAAGTTGATCCAATACCAAATTCTCCAAACTTACATGATAAGAATTGTATGATAGACAGTAACGAGAATTATTAATGAGATCTTGCCTGTATATTCTTAGAACTGTTAGGAGGGAGGGTTATTGTCAGGCAGAGTTGGAAAAATTATTTAGCGCTCTGGTTCTGCCTAAATTTACGTACGGAATATCAGTATATGGTTCATCTCCACCAGAACTTACTACCATACAATGCTTCCTGGATCGTTGTTGCAAACGTAGATAAACGTATTCTCCGGTTTCTATTATCAATTGCTTAGATAAGTCTGATATAGGTATCTTCAAAAAATTAAGCGCGTGGGAACATCATCTATTGCACCACCCCCTTCCCAGGATTAATTCTGCTACCCGTAGGCTTAGGCAAGTAAGCCAAAATATCCACTTTGCAATACTGAGCGTTTTAAAAATTCTTTTATCAATAGACTTAGTTTTAAGCATAACTTAGCTGTAAGTAATTAATACATATTTTAGCCCATTACACTTTATATGTAACACTTGATATGCATTTTATCAGTGAAATAAAGACTATTTATTTATTTATTTTAAAGGGTTAAGACGCTTGGCATGAAATGAGGAAGAAATTCACGATGTTAAGGTTTTCAGGAACGCAAGATTTTTGTCAATATCATGTTATCTGCCGTGAAGCGTGAAATGAGAATATTGATTCGTTATCTACTAACTATGGTTATTAGTTACATTTAATAGTCGGGAATCGTGCGAAGGACCTCTTACGGCCTCTCTTTGAATACCATATGGAAACTTTTAATAATTAATTTGCCTACGGGGTTGCCGATACTTCTGATTTTACCTCTTGGTGCAAATTTCTTTCCCTCCCAAGCCTTCTGCTACTGTAAGTAATATCTGAACGCTAATTCGCTTAAATGCTTAAAGTCCCCACATAAGTAGCGTGACGCGTGACATAAGCGTGCGGAAGTCTGCTGGTCCATTGGTTGTGCATTCTGCTTCCCCGTTAAATTCACTAATGTATTCATTTGCTTTCTATGGACATTTTGGTTTTTCTTAGGTTTATAACTATCTTTTAACTGCTTATATCAGAGTTAATATTATATCTTTTTGGCCGCTGTTGATGGTATCCTTAACGTACCGCGATAAATTAGTAAAACTCACTCAGTATTTGATTGAATTCCCTGGATAGCACTCGATACGTAACTCGAAGTCCAAAATGAAATCTGACGAAATCTAAATCGAAGTTCAGCCCAAAGTTCAGCTCCACCTCGAACTCAAATACAAAGTCGAGCATGCCTTCATTGTTTGAAACGATCAGGTTCACGAGAACGCAACCGTTAATAAAAGTAGTCTATGTGGTTCTTTTATAGCCAGTAGTTTACAGCATACGATATTTTCTGCTTCTTAGGTATCCTGCAGCAGCAAGAAGTAGCAGAGGCTTGACACGAGGAGAATATCACCTTAATTCAATAAGTTGTAACTCAACTGCACGTAGACCACACTAATTAAACAGGTAGATCATACTTCTTAACACAAATAGTTTCTTAATATACTTTATGATGCGCACTTATTCGAACTCGAACATTTTAAGAGCCTCACAAAAAATGATACATGTATCCTAGGTTTTTAAAAATCGCGCGAAAAAAGTGTTATTGATTAATCGTAAAATTAACAACACTCATTTTGCCTCTGGCGGGGTCATTCCCAGAGTAGATGGTTAGTCCATGATAGATATTGGTTGGCCAAAGAGAGGTAAAGTAAATATTTTCTACGATAAGTCACGCGAGAGCTTACAAGCACACTTCTGTAACAACAATTCGTACCGAACTTACGAATACAAGATTCCATCCTGAACAATCTTCAGCCTTGCTATCATGATTTCCCATTCTAGTCAATCGTTTTTTATTCCAATAGTTAATAGTCTGAGTATGAAGTTCGTTGGACTACAGTTCAAAAACAAATCGCTGTAACCATTGGTCGACATTGTAAAGAAACGCGTTGTCAAGGTAACGGGGAATATATATAATGACATAACATGTTACTATCACGGTCTGTTTGTTGTGAGATTTTAAGCCACTATCCCGGTCGGTATGATAATTTCGTAAATTAAATAATAAATAATATTTTTTTTATATATATAATAAAAAATATTAAATATCTATATTCTTATTGTACGATTTTAAGCCGTTACTTAACGGCTTAAAATCTACCATTATATAAACTACCTGTTGAACGAAATTAAGCCGTTAGTTAACGGCCTAAAATCGTACAATAAACATAACAGACTGAACGAAATTAAGCCGTTAGTTAACGGCCTAAAATCGTACAATAAACATAACAGACTGAACGAAATTAAGCCGTTAGTTAACGGCCTAAAATCGTACAATAAACATAACAGACTGAACGAAATTAAGCCGTTAGTTAACGGCCTAAAATCGTACAATAAACATAACAGACTGAACGAAATTAAGCCGTTAGTTAACGGCCTAAAATCGTACAATAAACATAACAGACTGAACGAAATTAAGCCGTTAGTTAACGGCCTAAAATCGTACAATAAACATAACAGACTGAACGAAATTAAGCCGTTAGTTAACGGCCTAAAATCGTACAATAAACATAACAGACTGAACGAAATTAAGCCGTTAGTTAACGGCCTAAAATCGTACAATAAACATAACAGACTGAACGAAATTAAGCCGTTAGTTAACGGCCTAAAATCTTGAAATAAACATAACAGACTGAACGAAATAAAGCCGTTAGTTAACGGCCTAAAATCGTACAATAAACATAACAGACTGAACGAAATTAAGCCGTTAGTTAACGGCCTAAAATCGTACAATAAACATAACAGACTGAACGAAATTAAGCCGTTAGTTAACGGCCTAAAATCGTACAATAAACATAACAGACTGAACGAAATTAAGCCGTTAGTTAACGGCCTAAAATCGTACAATAAACATAACAGACTGAACGAAATTAAGCCGTTAGTTAACGGCCTAAAATCGTACAATAAGAATATAGTTATTTAAT